TTTTTCAATTAATTTGGTGGTTCTTTGCCCTTGGCTTTGTGCCATCACCTCAGTGGTCCCGATGTTTTCTTCTTCAATTTTTTAAAGGCCCATGTTACGCTTAAGTCCCACTACGTTTCATTGATTGATAAAACAATGTCTGTCCAACCAGCAGCTGTGAGTCATAACATAGGCCCATAAAAATCTGAAGAAGAGATCGGGTCCACTGAATTCATGGCACAAAGCCAAGGGCAAAGAACCACCAAATTAATGGAAACAAACACTAAAAAACATGGATTTTTCGATCAAAAATGGTGAGTGTTAAGCCCAACATCTCCCAGTTTTGAGTTGTTTCTCTTTTTTTGTCATCGGTGAGTTTTTTGTTTCCTTTGCTGGTGATGGTGGTCTTACCCCTCACCAGCTTGTTAGTGCATAGGTGTAATTCATGTTGTAGCTTTCAGCCGGTCTTGTCCCAAGTAAAGTCGACCTGAAGCTGTGCAAACTTTTTAGCCGGTCTGGCCCCAAGTACAGTAACTTCAATTTCAGAAATCTTTTGGTTTCAAGTTTCATTTTTTTGTTTTAATTGTTTTGTTTTTTTAAACCGTTGGGTTTAACTCACAGGGAGTTGGCCCCCCGGTTCCCTGAACAGGACTGGCGCGACTGAGTTCAAATGTTGGGCCACAGCTTCTTTGACCTTCGGCCGCAATAAGTGCAAATCTGGTTGGGAAAGGCATAAAACATATGTCTAATAAAAAGTACGTTGACATGTATGCGGTTAACCTTCCAGTTTTTGCATGGTGTTCCATATTTTCCACGGTTGAATTTGAAAAAACAGTAGCTAGTAGCTGGTGGTGGGGCCCCCCGGTCACTTGCTAGGACACTTCGATGGAGCCTCCAGTGATACTTCGGCGATTGGGAAGCCCTGGAAGGCTTGAATTTCGCGCTTTCAGAACTTATTCCCCAGATCTGGCCGATGCGTTCGGGAAACACATCGACTGGTGGAGGGATGCCGGGTCGCGTGAGATTCTGATACACGATTTAATAACATCGATTGATGCTCATCCAGAAAGAATAGAAATCATACACCGAGGATTGTTCTTCGGTTACTATATTTGTGCGTGGGCAACTCCCGTCCATTTGGATCACTATCTCTACGTGCTACTGGATCCAGAAGAAAGCTTTTTCACAGTGTTAGTCTTCAGGGACCAGCGCCAAGTTCGAAGAAACAGATGGTCATAATCATAACCAGGACTGGTTTAGGGGGAAAAAATGACAACAGCGTTGGGTTCCAAAGTTTTTCCAATGTTTTTGAAGGTTTTTCAGGGAAAAGAGGTTCCAACTTACCGACGCCTCCTTCGGTAAGTTGGCCCAGGTCGATTGGTAAGTTCAAAATCTGCCCCTTGCAACTGGCTTTCTGCAGTCATTTTGGATCAAACTTCGGGCAACTAGTGCGCCAAATCGAGAAACAAATCGGGCACGGACAGTATAATGAAGGGAAAATCGTCTTTTTTTCGCGGTCTTACCCGGAAAACAGACCGAAGTAACATAGAAAAAGCAACGCACCAAAAAAGAAAGGTTTCGGACAGGGTAATGAAACGAAAATCGTCGTCGTCTTGCGGTGTTACCCAGAAGACAGCCCGAAGCAACAAAGAAAAAAAAACGTGCCCAAAACAAAAGGCGTCGCCTCCTCAGGACCAGGACAAACATGAAAAGGAAAGAGCCGCTGCAAAGCCGTGGAACCAAGGACACAAACACAGTAAAACTGCAAAGCAACATGTGTTCATTCCTAGAGAGCAGTTACAATTGTTTTTTGCGGTCGCCCAATTCTTTGCAGGGCCAATCTACTGCGTAGTATTATGGCTAGCTTTGGTAACATCTCGACGCATATCTGAGACGCTACTGTTACGAGGCACAGATATACGCCTGACCGGAGGAGAAGACCACGATGCTCCGCATGTGTTATTTCAAAAAAGACAAGAAGATAAAAAAACTTCGGGGGCAAGGGAAATTGGGTGCTGAAAGCCTGAGCGCTAGAATTTCAGAGTCAAGCATTGAGGGTCTGAAGGAATTAATCGAAACGGGTCTCAAGTGGGAGTGCCCCATGACTTTGGAACCATTTAAATCTTCGCATCCCAAAGTTTTTGAAAATGTTAAGCCTCTGCGCAAAGACGATTTTATGTTGGACGTTACATCAGAAACATTTCTGTTTCAAAGCAATAGCAGGAAAAAAAATGCCAGCCGAACATGGCCCGACAATCGGTGTCTGATGCAGTGACCCGTATCCGGGATGTCATGTGGGCATTGACACATCAACGAAGATGGAACCCAAGCAACCAATATAGGGGTAGCCGTGTGACAGTTCACGGTGCCACGAGGCATACAAGCTCGGCACTACTGCTTTTTAACAAAGACAAACCATCAATGCAGAGGCCAACTGAAACCACAATTTTAGAAGTGCAGCAACGCGCAGATGCCAGAACTTGGCGGAAGCACTATTGTCATGCACATGACGACGAAGTGAAGGAAGCTCTAGAGTTTGGGTCCGCCCCAAGTCCTTTCAAAAGAAGTAAGAAGGAGGAAAAAACAGAAAAAACCTCAAAAGAAAATCTCAACATGGTGGTCTTACCCCTGCAAAAGGCACAGAAAGTGAACCCAACTGCACATCAAACATACCACCAAAAGGGGAAGAAAACACAAATTTTGAAAGAGCAGACACGTCTTCCCTGGCCCCCGGTCCTGAGCCAAGACCAACCTCAAGCGCGGAAGCTGGATCTGCTCGGTCGGGTAGCGTCCAAGACCAAGAAAGCCAGTGCCAGCCAAAGCAACATGCATTCAGGAGCCGTAATGTTGCTGAGTAGCACTAGGATTTACTGAAACTTGTTTTGGAACCATGATGATGACTAATTATGATTGTTGTAATTGTTCTTGTTTTTTTTCGTTTTCTTGATGTATTTTTCGCACCATGTTTCGTGTGTGTTGTTTCTGATATCGTACGAACCATACGACATGCTCAATGCATTCTTTCAGTTACACGTTTGACTCATTTGATTTCATATAACACACGCTGAGGCTTTCAGAAAACATCAGCGGCGACAGGCCAAACAAAAACGGCTTCAAGGGAATCTTGGTTAATGATTATTATCATCATCCTTCTCACACATTGAACCTTCACATGCTGAATGAACTTACTGAAAAAAACGGTTGTTTGTTGGCTAAAAGGCCCCTTGCGAGTTAGTTGGTTCTGTTCAGCAGAGCCCCTCGTAAGTTTTGTGGTCTGAGGCCCCTGCTTATCCATTCTACAATTATCTTATATAACTTCCCGGTTGTTCAGAAGGTTATGAGGCCCCTCCACAAGTTTGTGGCTTCTGGCCCCTTGTGTGAGTATGAGGTCTCATGCCCCCGGGAAAGGGAATGTCCTATGTATGAACTAAAGGGTCAGTGATCCAGGATGGCAACAACTATGATGATCATCGGTAACCACTTTCATCGTGCAGATGACATTTGAACATTATTTTATTTGTTGACCATCAACACCTTCATTGTCATATCATCCCCAAGTAACGGTGGTTTGGAATTGCAACAGTCCGTTCCGCCCAGAGTCAGGTAATCACATTTTTGCCATCGCTGCGCAGGAAGAGGACTGACAAGTCCAGCATCGCAATCTTAAAAAGGGTCTATTGGGGTCAGACCGGACGTAAGATGCGTGTTTTTGGGTTGGTGGTTCTGTCCCAATAAACAAAAACAAAAATTGCATTTGATAGGCTGGCATTTTTAAAAAAAAAAGTTGCACATAAAACTATTTCACTTTGGACTTTTTTTTCACCAACCACAAAAGTGAGACGTTCCAGGGCCAGGGTGGGTAAGACCACAGCCCTGCTGCTATGGCCATTTAATGCTGGGCGGGTAAGACCACGACGCTGCTGTGACTTTTCTTGTAGGATGGGCTCCAGGTGTGCCAGGAAAACCTGAGCGGCATGTCCGTCTTCTTCAGGTATTTTGTGGGCATGTTGTGCGGGGTTGCCCGCTCAATGCTGTGGAGTGCCCAATGCGATTTGGGGATCCACTCGGTGGCTTCCAACCCGTGGTCAACGCACCCTTCACTGACCCACCATTGCACAATGGATTTGATATCCTCCACCCTCTCAATCTTATGAGTGTCCACGAGGAATGTCATGTCCGGGTCTGAAAGTGGAAGGCCCGTGATTTCCACAATCAAATTTGGACAGTGGCAGTCGTCCTCCGAGCCGCCGCGCTTGGTGTAGCACACCATGAATCCCGGGGTGAAGTCTTTAGGATGACCAACCGGGGTAAGACCACCAGGATATTCTGATCGGTCCCATTGCTGCTGAAGATACTTCACTTCAATATTGGAACTATCTCCCGGGATCACCGTGGGTCCGTGTTTGGAACCCACCAGGCTCCAACTTCTGTTGCTGCTTGCGTCATCATCTGCCCTCATCAATGCCGGCATCTGAGACTGACCCGATGCTGAGTACGCAGACATGGCGCAACGCGGCAGTCACAAATTTGACCTGAAACAGTTTGAGCCTTTGCAGCTACTGTCACAAAAAACACTACCATCAGATCATGGACGTTTTAAACATGCATATGACCTTGCAATGTTGAAACTACCCAAATATACGCATGAATCAAAAGTTTACCCATCAGCTCATGAATCAAAGACATCTCCTTGTCACTTAGGTTGCGGTTCCCTCACCACCCACGCACACGCAAACACACGCACACACACACATACGCACACGCACACCACATACCTTTTTTTTTGGCCAAGAGATCAGAGGGTCACGACTCCAAAAATGCTGTTTCTGTTGAGCAGCGAACTTTGACATGAAAAGGGCAAAGGCGCTAGTCACAGCAACAATTACCCCTCGTATCTGAATCTCACAGGGTCCAATCGAGCAATTCATCAAATCAAAACATCACCTCAGTTGACCAGAGGTAAGACCATCAGGGTCTTGGTGATATGTCTTGCTCAGCTGTCCGGATTTCACGTTCAAAATTCACCAAGACCCGTCCTCAGAAGATTCTTCTTCCTTTTTTTTTGGCTTTTTGTTCTTTTTCTTCTTGGGCGGTTTCGGCTGCGATTCCTCGGAAACCTCTTCTTCTTCTTCTGCATCGCTGCCGTCCTTGTTCTTCTTTCGCTTAGGCCCAGGCTTTGGTTTGGCCTTGGGTTTCGGCTCAGCATCTGTGGCATTGTGGTCAGTGCCAGAGCTTGCATTTGCGCCAAGTGCTTTGGCAGCATCTTCGCGGTACATGGTGTGACCGTTTTCTTTGAACTTTTCTAGGACATACCGCGTCAGCCTTTCTTCCAACATGGTGCAATGGGTCTCTGTTAACCCAAACCCAACCACAGGCGTGCGTGAATCCAGGCACGCTTCCAACATGTGCCCTTGGCCGGGTGTGAGATCGATGACAGCTGCCGCTGAAAAGGAATGAAGAAGGTCTTGATGAAACTTTGCTGGCAAGCGTGCAGCGGAAAAAACGCTCTCAACGCGCTGTTTGTTCTGCAAAATGGCATTCTGTTCCTTTGTCAAACCTGAGTGAGCAACACCAAAAAAAACAAACAATAAAACAACCAAACGAGAAAATAAAATAGCCTGAAAAAAACAATCATGTCACAGAAACCGGCTGCTTCTGCCGTGCTCAGCTTCATGGTTTGGTTTCCCAAGATCTTCTCCTTGACTTCCCGGGTGGACTCCCATAGCGCAGTGGCCGGGAGAGCGTCGACCCACCCCACGACGTTTCCGTTGTTCCATCCTGGGTAGTGCATCCTCTTTTTCTCCGGAACCACTCCAGGCACTAGTTGAGCAGCACTAAATGCCTGGATACTTGTCAACGTGGTGTAAGCTTCGCTTCCACGGACGCGTTTCTTCCTGGAACGAACCGTCTCTTCGCTGAAGATGACGTTGATGCATTTCTCGTCACAGTCAGTGCCTTCGTGTCTGGCAGCCTTGAGGCGGAAGACCTTCCGCACTTCTGCCTGCAGCAATCCTCTTTCGGCAGTGCGCACCGCGATGATTTCTCCATTGCCTGGCACTGTGACCTCGCCTGCATCGCTCTTCACCTGGGCCCCTCTGGCCAGCATGACAGACTGCAGCAAATTTTTGAAGTCACCGTCTCCCTTGACTTCAGGAAAGCGTCTCAATCCCACTTGCGCATTCAATCCTGGGGTCTCGCCCATGAGGTCCATGTCAAACCAAACCAAGCAGGATTTTTGCCCTTCGGTGATGATGATTTCCTTCAATGCACTTTGCTGTAAAGTCCGAATGATTTGACCTTGGCTGCTGGGTAAGACCACAAGCGAAATGTATCGTCTCACGGTCGAATTCGCCAGGCTATTCCAATATTCCTGACTGTTCTCGACAAACTCAGTTGCAGGCCGGCGCATCTGGCTGATGGCGCTGTCAGCCTCCTCTCCTTCAGGGTTCTCTGTCTCCATTTTGTCTTTCACGGCACGGCAGGCCACCACCTTGTCCCACTCCTCTTTGATCTGCTCATGCTCTGTCGCGTCCTCTGGCCCTTTGTTTCCTCTGGCCACGCCCCTCAAAGCGTTGTCGAACTGCTTGTTGTAGACCAGTTTCTGCAGCCGGGGGAAGGAAGAAGAAAGAGAACGTATTTTGATGTTTTCTGATGGATGCCGTGCATGAAAAGTTTGACTTAAAATACGTAGGCAATTCATTTGTGGATTCCATGTCAACTCAACATTAAAATAAAATTCATACCTGCATTTGATTGTCTTCCTGCGCACATTATAACACAAACCAAAAAAATACACGACAAATGATATGATGTCGCTAGCCCTGCCTCCATGAATTGCAGGCAATCCAAAGAGCTTCTTGTCAAAAGTCCTTGCCATGCCACTGCTTCTCCAAGCATTTCCTTGCGGTAGGATTCGTGGTTGGACAAAACTCTCTGAAGAATTTCTCTGTCAGCCTCAACGATCTTGGCTCGGGCCATCATGCTGGAGCACCAAAAATCCAGACATTGCTTCTTGAGTTGGAAGAGTTGAACCAAACCGCACGCATTGGACGTGCCAAGGACTGTGGATTTTGTGACCTCTTCGTTTGGGATGAGGCCTCGCGAGACCCAGTCAAACAAGCCTTGCACCACAAACTCCCGACATGCTGGGAGGGGCTTTGTTGCCAAAATGTGCAACTTCGTCATGCTGTTCAGACAGCTCTTTGCACCATAGGTCTCTTCGAGAGAAAGTATTGGATCAATCAGCAGGGGAGTGGAAAACTTCGCGTGAATCGTGCATGCGCTGCTCACAAAGTTGCCGGTCAGCTCGTCATCGCAAGAAGCTTTTTTCAAACCTTGTAATTTCAGGTGCTGAACAACCTCTGAAGGACTCATCGTTCTTTCTGCATCTTTTTCAAGCCGCTTCTTCATCAAAGCTATTTCTGTGCTAAGCTGAAATGCTGTTCGGCTAAGGCTTTCGAATTCCTTAGTGATAATGTTGCGGGCATTCCAGGCATATACCCACGTGTCATTTTGAGCATCGGGTAAAACCACGAATGCCAAAGGGACAGATCGTAGCACAATTGCCCATTCACCTTTGTGCTTTGGAAGGTCTCTAGCTGCTGCATACAAAGCAGCGTGGGCGTAGCCTTCCGGACTCAGCATGGACAACCCTGACGGCGTTGTTGGCATATTGCCTTTGGGTGCCTCCTCTTCGAGGAGCTTCACCAAAAAAGCTGGTTTCACCTGGCTTGCCGGCCACAAAAACTCTCCGAGTTGCTGCACAGCCTGCCTTCGCAATGGCACCCCTGGAGCTTGACTTTTCAAAAAATCTAGCCAAAATAAATTCCCAGCTGCAATGTAAAGGTTTTGGTTTCCAAGTGCCCTTTCTGCCATTTGGGCTGACCACGGCTCTTGCACTCCTCCTTCATCCTTGCTATTCTTCTTTGCGATGCTGAGGGCTGGAAATGTGGCGAAGTCTTTGCCCAAATGCTTCAACACCAAACGAACATCTTCCTGCACTTGCTCAAAGTAGCCCAACTTGCTTGAATGCATAGTCGTTGACGCCGCAGCCGGTTTTGCGGCACTCGAAGCTGAGGCTGAGGGTGTGACCGCCACAGCAGAATCGGATTTCTGCTTGTTTGCATTCGAAAGTTTGGCTTTATTTTGCTTCGCATCTTTGGTGAGTTTAGCCTTGTAATCGTTGACCTTGACCTGCGCAAACAACGGTGACTGAATATGACGACATATGACGTCGTCAGTTGTTGTGGTGAAGCTGCTTGTCATGATATATATTCTTAAAATTTATCAAAAACTTCTCATTTTACATCACAATGGCAACTTCAACATGTTACAGCCGACTAGTGTCCTTGCCTGGGTCTCTGCCTCGTCTTCTTTGGCTCCATCGTCCACCAATTTCTTCGCAAACTCGGCCACGTCCTTCTCAATCTTTTCCTGGCTTTGGGTCCACAATGTGACTTACGTGTCTGCACGCATGTGATCTGACTATGCATGTGACTGACGTCTATGCTACTTGACTCCCTGCGGTCCTGTTCATCTCGTGACAGTCGCCAAGCACTCCAATTCGCAGGAACGCCATCCGGAAGAGTTTCCTTCTCAGAACCTTTCTTCGGCGGCATTCTACCTGACAATCCTGCTACTGAACCAAATAATTTCTGCGGACCAGAATCTGTTTTCATTGCCCTATCCATGGACATAACACGTTCGGCATCGAGTCCGCTCGATCCCCTGTTTCCCGACTTTTTGTTTCCGTTTGCGCTGCTCCATATCAGTGAAACCATGTCAAGTATGCTGCGCCCAGGTAAGACCATGAAGCTCGATTCGAGTCATCTCTTTTCTCCGCTTCCTGGAATTTCATGATCTGTTCCACGCTTTGTCTGCGGCTGACGGCATTCCAGACTTGACTGTCCAAGGGTCAAGTGTTTCAGCATCCTCTGGGGACAGCGCCGATGGACACCAAACACTGGATCAGAACTTTGCCCAAAACATTCACCGGCATCGCATCACCCAAGGCGGCGCCTAATTCTGAGTCGCTAAAATTATTTTGTAAGTCCTTCAGTAAAGCGGTTGGCCACCCTTGCAGCTTGCCCGCTTCTGCCACCGACAACCGCCTACGGAGCTTGGGGATGAAGAAACCAGTGGGCGATGTCTTCAACCTAGAACGTGTCAAACAAGGACACTGGTATCGGCGAGCGGACTGGAAGGCTTCAGAAGCTGCCACATCCAGTATTACTCTTGGGTCGCAGCTTGGTCTCCATACTTTGCCACATAATTTTCGATGTTGCAGTTTTCATTTCCTTTCGAGGCGGCATCTAAAAATCGGCCCAACCACTTCTTGGAAAATTCACTTGTCTTAGGCCAGGAAAATTTGTTCTTCATGTCATTCGACATGATTGCCACAATGTAGACACGATGTCGGCTTTGAGGAATGCCCAAGTCTGCCGTGTTCAAAACCCGCAGCCTCGAAGTGTATCCCAACGTGGTCAAAATTGACTTGATTCCTGATCGAAAGTGCTGATGTTGCGCATGCAAAAAACCTTTCACATTCTCTAATATAACGATGGTAGGTCTGTGGGCGATGATGTACTTCAGACCGTACAGACCAACCTGTCCCCGCTTGTCGCTGACACCTTTTTTTTTCCCCAAAGCAGAAAATGAAGGACATGGCCAACCGGCAACATAAATGTCAGCGCCTGGGGCACTGCTGGCGTCACGGGTTGTCATGTCCTTGCGACACGGGGCAATCGAGCAACCTAGAGCGCGACAGACTGCCCGATACATCTTGCGTTTGGTGGAATCATTGTCAGACCATGCCGATGATGTGACTAAGTGCTGGCACCCAAACAGCCTCAAAGCCACGAGATCAGAGCCAAGTCCAGCACAGTCGCTGGCAAGTCTCAACTTACGTTTGAGTTGTAATCGAGGCCTCGCTATGAGGGCTGCATTTTGTGCCTCTTGGTTGAGTTTTTCCAACTCTTCTTTGAATCGTTTGACGGGCTTCGTTTCATCATCATTTTTTTGTTTGCTTTCGGACGTTTTCTTGCGAGAGGAAGTAAGACATCACTCCGTTCAATTTTTTTTTTGCTTTCGGACGTTTTCTTGCGAGAGGAAGTAAGACCATCACTCCGTTCATTTTTGTTTGCTTTCGGACGTTTTCTTGCGAGAGGAAGTAAGACCACTCCGTTTCCGAGAAACCTTTGCTCTAAATACCATTGCCATGAACGTCTAAGACTGAAACAACAGAATTTGAATCTTGAGCCAAAATCAAGAGAATCAAAAATCACCTAACTCACCAGACCAGGACCGGGACGAAAACATGTGACTAGGGTACAGCGGTACTTAACTCACCAGACCAGGACCGGGACGAAAACATGTGACTAGGGTACAGCGGTACCAACGCTCAATGCGTAAGGGAGCCATAAATTTATGGCTCCCTTTCGCGCCCTCGGACCGGTCTGGCAATGCGTAAGGGAGCCATAAGTAGCAGCGGCGCTGCAACTTATGGCTCCCTTACGCGTTTTTATGGCTCCCTTTCGCGCCCTCGGACCGGTCTGGCAATGCGTAAGGGAGCCATAAATTTATGGCTCCCTTTCGCGCCCAACGCTCTAACGCTCTTTCGCGGCCCCGGACCGGTCTGGCAATGCGTAAGGGAGCCATAAAGTTGTGCATATGAATTAACGTCGCTCAATTTTCGATTTTTTTTGTTGTAGTTACCATGTTGACTGAACTTTTACCCTCTTTCGCGGCCCCGGACCGGTCTGGCAATGCGTAAGGGAGCCATAAAGTTGTGCATATGAATGAACGTCGCTCAATTTTCGATTTTTTTTTGTTGTAGTTGCCATGTTGACTGAACTTTTACCCTCTTTCGCGGCCCCGGACCGGTCTGGCAATGCGTAAGGGAGCCATAAAGTTGTGCATATGAATTAACGTCGCTCAATTTTCGATTTTTTTGTTGTTGTAGTTACCATGTTGACTGAACTTTTACCCTCTTTCGCGGCCCCGGACCGGTCTGGCAATGCGTAAGGGAGCCATAAAGTTGTGCATATGAATTAACGTCGCTCAATTTTCGATTTTTTTTTGTTGTAGTTACCATGTTGACTGAACTTTGACTGAACTTATGCAAAATTAAAAACATGGAAGCAGTCTCGTGCCCTTTTACCCCACCTCAGTCAGCAATGTGTCAAATAGCATTAATTTCAGATTTAATTATGGCAGCTGGTGGTAACGCAGACGTATGCGCCAAAACCTCTTTCAAATTAAAAATTTTCAAGAGCATCACTTTGAAGCTCTTGAAGAAGCCTTAGTTTCCGTCCGCTTTGGCAGCTGCAGCTCGTACGTCTGCAGGTCTCCATGGCAATCCAGGCCGTTTTGTCAGAAGCAAAAATTTCAAGAACCGAGAGAACCATTGAGCGCTCGACATCTCCTTATCCAGCAAAATAAAACCAAAAAAACAGATAATAATGTGACTGGAAAATTTCAAACAATGCTGCCGAGAGTCAGACTTTTCCAAGTATTCGATATGCTTTCTGATTTTTGCGAAAGGCGCTCGGTTCATTAGAAGCAATTGCGCCTTATAAGGGCATGGTTTCACTGTCGGGACATTGTCGGGAACGAAGCGTTTCTTGGCGGGCACGAAAGCAGGGGGCTTCATCATGGTCACTATCCAAAATGGCTTTGGCGCAATTTCAAGTATTGGCACACCAGTCCAGAGACAACTGCAATCAATGCTTTCGATGCAACCATGCAAACAAACATGATGGCAAATGTCAACTGTAGTGGGTGTTTCACTTTTTCAATCCGATGCATATAGTCTAGTTCGCACCGCAAAAACAGGAACCTTCTCAGAAGCGGCCGGACTCCTCTGTGCACAACGTCAAGCTGGCAGAACGATTGAAAAAATCTTCAGAATGTATAAACTTTTTTGCCTGGTTTTCTCAATGTAGATTTCTCGGATTCACTACAAAGAATGATGTGTGCCTGCCTGGCAGCAGTGAATTTCCACTGGCTCTGGGGAACGTCCTCAACCACAGATTTCAACAACATATGAAGTTCCCTATTTTTGGCTCTGAATTTTTCAGTCACTGAGAAGGCCAACGGTTTTTTGATTGCAGCCTTGTATGTCAAAATGCAAGACCCTGCTTGCTGTGATGACAAAGCATTCCTGGAGAGCACAACTCCCCCAAGAACCATTGCGTGCCATAAAGCCCTCTTTTCAGGTTTGTTGCTGGTCACAACCCAAATTTGAGCTTCTCGAAGAGATGTCGTCAGGGCATGAACACCGTGGTTGAGCAAAATCTGCCGCTCTGTTGATGATGGGGCGTCGATCCAGACGACGCGGCCCGACAGAGATGCTCCAATCAAGCTGCGTGGTTTCACATTGCTCGTCAATGAAAACAATTGGTCAATGGTTTTTTGTGTTTGCTGCCTTTTCTTGTCATCAGCCAAGTCTTTTTTCAATCTGCCTTGGATTTGCTTTTGGGTTGGCTCTTCACCGTCAATCAAATAGTGATCACCATGCGCTTCGACTTTTCTTTTTTCCACTGCCATTCTCAATCGTTTTGCTTCCTTGACCATGGGTTCATCCAGGCTCTGCACATCAATCACATCATCATTTGGCCCAAACGTCGCTGATGAAAGTTTCATCACAACCTCTTGAACATCGCGTTTTCTTTTGCGTAGAAACTCTGCTTCTGTGTTCTTTCTCTGTTTTTGTTGGCTTCCTGAATCAAACCGAACGCGTCTACCATCGTCTTTGCTGCGAGCGAACCATGATCTTCCTGCACAGTACATGAGGCGAGCCTTGCTGATCAACTGGGCATCTGATAACTCTGTCATCCCTTCGTGGGATGTCAACCCCACAACTGACCTTCGAAATGTATCTCCATGGGTGGCATGCGCGCGTCCACGCTGCAGGTGATTGTGCTCAATTTTGGGAAAAGTTTGCTCGACCGAGGATGTGCTGGCGGACCACGCCATGTAAGCAGCAAGTACCTGAAACAGCTCGATCTTGGAAAGTCATTGAAAAAAAAAGGCCCCTCCCCAACCAAAAAATATAAGCTAACAGGCACAGCCAGGTTACAATGTCTAAATTGGGCAACTTCCAAGTCTGAGCCTTCGAACGATTGTGGCAGGCACGACGATAAGCCCATCGCCATGCGTCCCGGTTTGAACAGCCAGCCTGTTTGAAATGTGCTTCCGCAATGTTGTGCATTTTTTGAAATTCATGACTCAGCGCCAGTTCATCCAGCTCAAACAAGTTGGAAAGCCTTTTTAAACCATCCTGTTTCCTCAGAGGGGTAAAACCACCATGTCGTTGCGGGGATGGGTCGCTGCTCAAATTGAAGATGCTGAATGCCATCACAGCATCAAAACTGGGAAATTCAGCTGCAATGGCTTCTCGTATCAACGTGACACAGCGTTTCATGGTTCGCAAAGCGCTCGTCTTGGCGGTAGTCAGGGCAAGATCTGTAAAAGACTTTGTTTTGCCCTTCATGAAGAACACGATGCTGTTGCTCCTCAAAGTGTCCACGCAAACTTTCGTGAAACCCTCCACTTCGAAGCACTGGCTGCGAAGAAATAATGCCTCAGAACTTAATGCATGCAAATGAAAGTCACAAAA